CAAGATTAGCTGACATCTGATGGAGACGATAATGCTGATACCGCGCTCCCTTCGCAACCAGCAAGTGTCAACTGCCCAGCAGAAATGAACACGAGGCGCAGCGAACGGGAGCGCAAACTCCCCGAAAAGTTGCTTAACTTTATTACCGGCTTAATTTATTAAAATAAATCGTAAAATTTGCTGGTATCGAACCGATACAATTATTTTTTTTAGCATACAAATTATATTCTGTTAAAAACAAACCATTAAATTGAAACCAACAGAATGGTTTCAAACAATCAAAATCTTGTATTTTTCCATTATATTTTTTTTCGAAAATTCAAATAGTAGGTATAACTTGTTTATTTTAACATAATAATACTTTTTTATACAACGAAATTCAACGTTAAATCCAACAATATTCGAGTTTGCTGATCAAAAGAATATGTTGCCATTATAAACAGGGCTCATTTTTCTGCATGACGGTATTCAAACATCACTTACTGCATTCCGATAACCTCCGACGACCGGAATAGAAAATGCTCAAAAAGCTCTACCCATAAATAATGGAGCTGCGCTGCCTTCAATTTTGTCCTCCATATTCCATTACCACTACATTTCAAGGCGATCACCCAGGAAATACATAACTGTTTGGGTGGAAAAGCGGCGGCGGCGTCGGCGGTGGCGGGCGTCGTCGTCGGTCGGCCTCAATCGGGGTTAGGCAGCTCAGTCCGTTCATTTTCATTTGTAGTTCGCGTTACACCACCCATCCGAGCGGATCTCGCGCGCCTAAAAGTATTCCACACCTTTACAATTACATGTACGGACGTTACGACGAGACCGACGACGATGCCGTGCTTAGAGAAAGTTGCCCGGCCTAGTAGATTTGCGATAAGAAATTAAAACCGAGAATCAACACGGATGGAGTGGGAATTGCATGTATCACGCCATCATAGCCAACGGGGAGTGCAAGTTACTTCCGCCTCGACCTACCCGGGAAAGCAACCGTGCAAAGTTTAGTAGGTAGTGCTGTTGTGATATAGAAAATATGTGTATCCAATTCCCGACAAAGAATGTAGAAACCGCAGCAGCGCGTTTCTGAGGAAGACAGACCCGGGTGCTGGGGTTGAAATCCGACCCTCTGAAGAAGCTTCTGTTGCTAAGATAAAGGCGCAGATCGCTCCGCTGAGAACCGCATTGCTGGAAGCCAAGATTGCACCGTAATCCTTGGCACAGTCGTCGACTGAAAAGTGATACAACTTGAGGGTGTGGTGTGAGTTGTGTCTTTGAGTGTGTGTGTGTTTATGGGATATTGCTTGTTTGTTTTTTAACTGAAGCGAAAAAGTCCCAGTGATGAAGTTGAAATCCCTGGATTACGCGGAAATTATCGAGAGCTTCACCAATCGTTATGAGAATATTGTCAAGAAGGTACGTGGCTGGTGGTTTCATGTGCTGTGTGTGTGTGCTTTGTGGTTTTGCTTTTCACGAGAGTCGAAAAGAAGAGGTTGAGTTGTCTTATGTGGCAATCAATGCGATTCAATGGATTCCAGCATAAATGTACGAGTTTTATATGTTGGCATTAACGGTGTAATCATGCTGCCTACACTATCTTAAATTTTATTCTAATCGAACGTTTGGCTCCTGGGATATGACCAAACAAATGCATTCCTATAGCTTCGAAATACGGAAACTTAAGGCCCAAACGCTATGTGGGCGGAAGCGGAACGGAAACGGCAAGTTTGACAAATATCACAAATGACATCAAGATGCCTAACCGAAGTCGACTTGGGCTGTGTTCCATTTGGAAATTTTTCACTTAAATTTTACACTTCGAAAATAAACTAAGATGTTCGAAAATCCCTCTGTTGCTGATCGGCCGATTTTCGAGAAAGTGTCGGTCAAAATTGATTCCTTGTCTGTCAGAAATAAGTTTGCTGGAATAGCAGGTTTATTTGAAAATTTTCCATCTGTCAAATTTAAGTAAACATTCACCCAATGGAACACAGCCTTGGTTCTAACTAGTTTTCAATCCGGCAAGTAGGCTTACTCCAATCTGCTTCCGCGGTCATTGCGCTTGGGCCTTTACGCTGTGTTCCATTTGGTGAATTTTCACTTAAATTTGACAGGCGATAAATTTTCAAATAAACCTGCTATTGTACCAAACTTATTTCTGGCAGACCAGGAATCAATTTTGACTAACAGCTTTTCGAAAATCGGAAGATCAACAACAGATGGACTTTCGAACATTATAAGTTGTTTTCGAGTGTCAAATTTATGTTGAAATTCATCAAATGGAACACACCATAATTTCGGACACATTTAAAACTGGATTAAAACGGCTTATGCTTTAAAAAAAGTACGTTAATTGTATCATAGTCTTTTGATATCGTTCAGAATCATCACATCTAGTAACTATATTTCAATGTTGACGTAGATTTAATTCGGAATAACGGACCATCCGGTATTCGGTACTTTTAGGCTGTGTTCCATTTGTTGATTTTTAAGTTAAATGTGACATTTTGAAAATAAATTTTAATGTTCAAATGTGTTTGATAGATTCCTGGTCTGTCAGAAATAAGTCTGGTACAATAGCAGGTTTATTTGAAAATTTTCCATCTGCCAATTTTAGGTGAAATTTACACGGCGAATGAGAACGACTCAAATTTGAGTTTAGTTCACTCATAATCGCCAAAAGTGCAGGAACTCAGCGATGAGTTAATTTGCCTCATGTTTTCCCAGGTTTCTCCAGGATTTTCCAGGGAAAATTCCCGAATTTGAGAAAAGTAAAGATTGGATTCACTCAGTCTATTGGTACTACTCCAAGACTAAATAAAATTTTCGTCAATTTCCTCATTTTCCGGCAGATTTTTTAGGTTTTCCACAGGAAACCATGAGACAAATTTTACTCATCGCTGAGTTCCTGCACTTTTGGCGATTATGAGTGAACTAAACTCAAATTTGAGTCGTTCTCATTCGCCGTGTAACTAAATGGAACACAGCCTAAGGTTGTGTACCATTTGCCGAGTTAAATTTAACTCGTTGTTAAAAGTAACATTTCGAAATTTATTTTCAATGTTCGAAAATCCCCGTGATGTCGATCGACCGCTTTTCGACCCACGGTTGTCAAAATTTAACTTCTTGTCTGTCAGAAATAACCATGCTCGGATAGCAGGGTTCATCGATAACTTTCCATCTGTCAAATTTTAACCAAAAGTTAAAAAAAAATCACCAAATGGAACACAACCTAAGGCTGTGAACCATTTGCCGACTTAAATTTAACTCGTGGTTAAAAGTGACATTTCGAAAGTTATTCTTGATGTTCGAAAATCTCTGTGCTGTCGATCGACCGGTTTTCGAGAAGAACTCAGCCACGGTTGTCAACATTTAACATCTTGTCTGTCAGAAATAACCACGCTGGGATAGCAGGGTTAATCGATAACTTTCCATCTGTCAAATGTTAACCAAAAGTTAAAATAATCCACCAAATGCTTCAGAGCCTTAGCCAAGGTTGTCAAAATTTAACTTCTTGTCTATCAGAAGTAACCACGCTCGGATAGCAGGGTTAGGCTCTGAACCATTTGGTGGATTATTTTAACTTTTGGTTGAAATTTGACACATGGAAAGTTATCGATTAACCCTGCTATCCGAGCGTGGTTATTTCTGACAGACAAGAAGTTAAATGTTGACAACCGTGGCTGAGTTCTTTTCGAAAACCGGTCGATCGACAGCACAGGGATTTTCGAACATCAAGAATAACTTTCGAAATGTCACTTTTAACCACGAGTTAAATTTAACTCGGCAAATGGTTCACAGCCTCAATCAATAACTTTCCATCTGTCAAATTTTAACCAAAAGTTAAAAATATCCACCAAATGGTATAGAGCATAAGGCTGTGAACCATTTGCCGAGTTAAATTTAACTCGGAGTTAAAAGTGACATTTCGAAAGTTATTTTCTATGTTCGAATATCCCTGTGCTGTCGATCGACCGGTTTTCGAGAAGAACTTAGGCTGTGTTCCATTTGGAAAATTTTCACTTAGATTTGACACTTCGAAAATAAATTAAGATGTTCGAAAATCCCTCTGTTGTTGATCGGCCGATTTTCGAGAAAGCGTCTGTCAAAATTTATTCCTTGTCTGTCAGAAATAAGTCTGCTGGAATAGCAGGTTTATTTGAAAAATTTCCATCTGTCAAATTTAAGTAAAAATTCACCAAATGGAACACAGCCTTAGCCAAGATTGTCAAAATTTAACTTCTTGTCTGTCAGAAGTAACCACGCTCGGATAGCAGGGTTAGGCTCTGAACCATTTTGCGATTTTTTTTTAACTTTTGGTTAAAATTTGACAGATGGAAAGTTATCGATTAACCCTACTATCCGAGCATGGTTATTTCTGACCGACAAGAAGTTAAATTTTGACGACCATGGCTCAAAAACCGGTCGATCGACAGCACGGGGATTTTCGAACTTAAAAAATAACTTTCGAAATGTCACTTTTAACTACGAGTTAAATTTAACTCGGCAAATGGTTCACAGCCTTAGGCTCTGAACCATTTGGTGGATTATTTTAACTTTTGGTTAAAATTTGACAGATGGAAAGTTATCGATTAACCCTGCTATCCGAGCGTGGTTATTTCTGACAGACAAGAAGTTAAATTTTGACAACCGTGGCTGAGTTCTTCTCGAAAACCTGTCGATCGACAGCACAGGGATTTTCGAACATCAAGAATAACTATCGAAATGTCACTTTTAACCACGAGTTAAATTTAACTCGGCAAATGGTTCACAGCCTTAATATATAACTTTCCATCTGTCAAATTTTAACCAAAAGTTAAAATAATCCACCAAATGGTTCAGAGCCTTAGGAATGTCACTTTTAACCACGAGTTAAAATTTACTCGGCAAATGGTTCACAGCCTACGTACATAAGACAGCAATGTGTCACCCCTCTCCACTATGTAGATTAATTTCGTTTTTCTCTAACTAAAACCACCGTTTTCTCCCTCCCTCTCCCCCACCCGCAGATGCGCTTCCAGCAACGCCAACAGCAGGAACGGGATCAACGGAAAGTGGAGATGATTTCCACGACCACGACCAAATCCACCTCGGTAGCAGCAGTAGCCAGCCATCAGAACGGCGCTGGCAGTAGCAGCACAATCCGTTCCTCCGCCATCAGTGCCTACTCGACGACGACGGCCAGCTCGACCACCGGCGGCGGTGACCTGTCGGCGTCCCTCGGGGCTGGCAAGGTGCGGCAAATGTTCGACGAACGACGCCACCCCCGGGTAGCCGGAATCGACAAGAGCTATCCCCTGCAACCGATCCAGCAGCAGCAGCAGCAGCAGGCCACGGCAGGGAAGGCAGCTGCCAACGGCAGTAACGTCTCCAATGGTAACCACACTGGAAAGTCGTCTAGCGGTGGCGGTGGGACGACTGGGTTGAATAACAAAACACGTGTACCACCGATTTCGGCCAACACGAAAGCACGCCTCGCAGTGCAACAGCAACGGCAGCAGCACCAGCAGCAGGAGAATGGAAACTATGGGGAGGTGAGTTTGACGTCTGTGTTATAATCTGTGATCCGAATATTCTCATCAGCGACGGGGAAAAGCGCCTCAAGCTGAAAACAGATGATCGATGTAATTATGGTAATGGGAATTGAAAGAAGAATTTTCTGTTACCGCAATGGGCAAAGTTTAACGATTATCGTGGCTCGCTTGTCACGCTCGAGTCCCCACCATTCGGGTGAGGTGTTGAAACGAAGTCCACTTTCGGCGACGGTAGACAAAGCTGAAGAAAACGATGTCAACGATAGCCGAAATAATGTTGTCGTTTACAGGAAACATGGCTTGGCTGACATGGTTCGCCGTAGGTCAAGAATTAGGACGGTTTTTATAGAGCCATTTCCGCTTGCCCGTGCAAGCGTTGGTTACATTCTTCGAACGGTTTACTTCTGCTGTCGTTCTTGGTAACTTTTGCAGCCCTCTGAATACGGTTGAGCAGCTGAAATTTGATCGAAAATCGAAAAACGAACACGACAATTTAAAAGCAAAAATTGAAAATTGAAATCGAAAACCAAACTCGAACATTTAAATTGATTTAAATTGATCACATTTCTCGTGTAACATTTGAAAAGGGCCTATGACCAAAATGTAAATAAATCGTTTTTGATACCATTCTATTATAGCACGGCTAAAAAGCTACCAATCGTATAGGAATTAAAGCACTCTAGTATGGACGACTTTCACCACTAAACTGAAAAAGTTGTTCCATTCGAGCAAAGCAGTGCGTATTGACAGTTAGATTGGAACAACTTACGACAGACGTGCATATGCTTTTACTTAGAGGACTTTAAAAGGAATGTTCCGCATTATCGATAAAAATATTTTACAATAACTTGAATTTCAAAACATTCGTTCAACAAAACTCATAGGTCCACATGCATCTGGCATTACCTTATAAGAGACGTTTCTCATGGAACTGACGACAGCTAGAAATCTAGAGTGTGTGAGCAAAGATGAATACTAAGATGAAACTGTCGGAAGAAAAATTTTCTATTTTAGTGTCCTCTTCCACGGTCCCTTTCTTCTTCTCTCTTCTTTCCTTTATTTAACGTCGGTCTCTGTTCCGCAATCTAGTGCCAATCACCGACGGACATCGATTGCCATCCATTGACGGCAATCGAATGTGCAGGAAGGCAGCTTCCACACCTGCGTAAGATATCGCACCCATTCATCAACACACATGGGCCGGGACCAACGGCTTTACTTCCCTTCCGAAGGAAGACGTGACCAGAGATTTTTATGCCTCAGAAAAATCCCACCGACCTCGGCTGGGATTGAACCCAGACCCATAGGGGTGAGAAAGCAGTCACGCTTACCACTACACCACCGGCGCCAGCTCACGGTCTCTTTCATCTAATGAATACTACCCGTATTCAAGGTAATTTTGTGGTTTTTCTGTCCCGTCGGTAGAGATGAAATTTTGCGCTCATTTTTATCAAAACAATCACACCAAAATCAGAGATGTCCCATTTTTTAATTACTCGATTAACAACTAATCGAATATTTTTTGTTCGCTGTGCTGCCATTTTTCCACCAATGAGAGTGCAGCACATGTTTGAAACGATCGGTGATGATCCTGTGGAGATGTTAATGCTTATATCGGCATGATCTAACCGATTATAAATAGTTTACTTTTCGGTTCGTTAATCGATTAAACGATTATTCGAATGAAAATCGGACATCACTAGATGAATGTGAAACGTCATTTTAAATAAAAGGCGGTTCATAAATAATGATACAATTTGAAGGGACCGGGGCTAATCACAAATTACGTCTCCATGGTAACTGAAATAAACACGAGTGTTCACCGGTTGGTTCTACCGTAAAAGTATGGACGTCTGTCAAAAGTTTTTCCAATCGAACTGTCGAAATGCACTGCTTTGCTCGACTGGAATAACTTTTTTCCTTTTTCTGGTTTTAGTCATCCATATATTTACCTCTATGCTACCTCTATGCTTTTACTCTGAGTACTGCGAACTAACTCAAAATGCTTGTCATCTGGGAGCCAAGTCAAACTGTCAAACGGGAGCCAAATATTCAAAAGAGCTCAGAAGTCACGTAGGTAGTTACTGTTCGAACCACAAGTAAAGGTGTTGCAGCCTACTGAAAACAAATTAAGAATTATAATTATGAAACTGTCGAAACATCAACCTTAGTAGGCGGATAATGTAAATCATCGAGCGTGATGCTCGAAAAAGTGTTTTTATTTGATATTAAATAATAATGCCAAAACTGGGTTTCTGAAACAAGAATGTAATCAAACTTTATAAGAGTCATGTGAGCTTTGTGGGCAGGTGATCTCCCTTCACCATGTATATGTTATTTCTGGAGCAGAGGAAGAGGAGCCAAGAGTTCATTTGACAGCATGTATATACAATTTCGTGAGCTGTTTCAGCAAAAAAATTTGAAACTTCGGAAGATTTTCAAGATGTTTTCTAGCTTACTTGTAAAATAAAATCGGCTGAGTTCGCAGTACTCAGCTTTTACTGAAGGGCTTTACCCTTGCCTTCTACTGCTTCGCGGTTGATTCAGTGCTAGGAGGGTCCTATCCCTGTCAACCACAGATAGATGCACCGTAGCTCACATGATTTTGGCATTTTTGGATAATCTAACACTACTGACAGCGGAAAAACTGACGGAGGTACGACAGAACAAAACAGCTTACTCTTTCAGAATTGAATCGCAGTGCTGAATGGTAGAAAGAGTAGTGTGTTGCAGTCATCCTAACCCCTACACGGTAAGAAAAAAGTACCCAACGGCCAGTTCACTTTTACCTACTTTTGACTAGTTTGTCTCCTTTTCTCCTTCTAATGTTGTCAAAAACGGAGGAGCAAAACCACCCAACAGGGGTAGTAAAGTGTGGGAACCCAACGTTGAGTATAATCATATTATCTACTGTTGGGTACAACTAACTTACTTTTGCGTTGAAAGCTAGTGGAAAATTCCATACGAATTGCAAACAAGTAAATGAAAACTACTTTGACCCGCTTTACCTACTTTTGGGTTCCTGCACTATAGTGCCGAGATGAGTGAAAAAAACTTACTTTTGGATACTTTTTCTAACCGTGTATACGAGGGGAGCGTCACATCTAAATCTCAATTGGGATCTTTAAGGGTATTGAGGTAAATGCATATTCGTAATCTGCATTAAAAATGGAACCCAAACCCAAAATTTCATAAATTTTGGTACATTGGAACTATTTTAAATAAGTACGATTACATTAGCAAAAATCACCTTATTAGCGCCCCTCGGTGTCACTTTGTATGGGAGCGAGCTGTCAGTTTGTTAGTTTAGTGTCAAACAGTGAAGTTATTATTTTGCTTTAAATCTTGATTTAAAAATCAAGATGAATGTATGTGGGTTCGAAAAAAATATCGCTGTACTCAGAAAACGAAGCTCTTTCGGATGATGTATAAAAAACGATACATTTTTCAAAATTAAAGAACCCAATTCTAGATGATCGAAAAATTTCACACTAGCGAAACAATCTACAAAAATTCTTCTTTAATTTCTCGCATCTACTTGCATCGCGTATCCTCTTTTTGCAGGAAAGCTTCAGAATCGTCATTAATCTACGTGCTCGCAGCTAATCACAGCAAAACAAAATATTTCCTGCTTCGTAGATAGAGTCACCCCCCTCGCTCCTTTTTGCATCACATTGATGTGAGCACAATCGTCGCCTACCTCGCATAGCTGGTTCCAAACGTAAACAAGCCATAAGAAACCTACAGGGTTTGTTTACGTTTGGAACCAATTTCATACAAGAATGATCAGTAGACTGATTTGACAGCACGGCTCCCCTCCCAGGCCCCCGTGGGCAGTGCCGATGACGTTACGAAAAGACTTGTGAACCATTTGTTGAGTTAAATTTAAGTCGTAGTTAAAAGTGGCATTTTGAAAGTTATTTTCTATGTCCGAAAATCCCCGTGCTGTCGATCGACCGGTTTTCGAGCCACGGTTGTCAAAATCTAACTTTTTGTCTGTCAGAAATAACCACGCTCGGATAGCAGGGTTAATCGATAACTTTCCATCTGTCAAATTTTAACCAAAAGTTTTAAAATAAATCGCCAAATGGTTCAGAGCCTTAGCAAAGGGCCTACCAGTTCTGATGACAAGCACAACGGCCTAACGAAAAGGACCTAACCATTGGAAGATTCACAAAAAGGTCTATTAATTAATTAAATTAAATTGTTGTCGATTTTCGTGTATTTTTGAAAACTTTTCGCAAATTTTGGATGTTGTGAACTGAGATACAGTAACTATTGTTCTTGTGAACAATATAAATCAATTTACTCATATATGAATTAGTGACGGAAAAATTTACAATTCATTTTCTGTTTTGTTTACATTTTGGACATAGGCCATTTTCAAATGTTACGCGAGATTTAGGGACTATTTATAAACTAAGGCTGTGTTCCATTTGGTAAATTTTCACTTAAATTTGACAGATGGAAAATTTTCAAATAAACCTGCTATTGTACCAGACTTATTTTTGACAGACGATGAATAAATTTTGACAAACACCTTCTCGAAAATAGGAAGATCAACAACAGAGGGATTTTCGAACATCTTAATTTATTTTCGAAGTGTCAAATCTAAGTGAAAATTCACCAAATGGAACACAGCCTAAGGCTGTGTTCCTTTGTTTCATTGGTGAATTTTCACTTACATTTGACACTTCGAACATAAATTTAAATGTTCGAAAATCCTTCTGTTGTTGATCATCCGATTTTCGAGAAGGTGTTTGTCAAAATTGGTTCCTGGTCGGTCAGAAATAAGTCAAGTACAATAGCAGGTTAATTTGAAAAAAATTCATCTGTCCAATTGGTTGGTTTGGGCTGTGGTCCATTTGGAAAATTTTCACTTAAATTTGACACTTCGAAAATAAATTAAGATGTTCGAAAATCCCTCTGTTGTTGATCGGTCGATTTTCGAGATAGCGTCTGTCAAAATTTGTTCCTTGTCTGTCAGAAATAAGTCTGCT